TCAAAAGTCCTTTGATAAACCAGCATTACTCAACATGCTGCAAGCTTTCTCTAGAAGTGTCTTGTTCATGCGTTCAACAACTCCATTTTGTTGTTCAATCTTCGGAGTGGTGAAGTGACAAACAATTCCTTCATTTTTGTAAAAATTCACAAACTCCACTGGAGTGTATTCTCCACCATTATCAGTCCTTAAGCACTTGACCTTCTTTCCAATCTGTCTTTCGATCATAGCTTTCCACTGCTTGAATGTGTTAAATACATCATTATTTTTCTTCAATTCTTAAATTCATACCTTCTTAGAGAAATCATCTATGAAGGAAACAAAGTATAGAGATCTACCTTTTGAGACAACCGATGTAGGGCCCCAAACATCTAAATGAATATAGTCAAGAATTTGTAGTATATTCTGAAGTACAAAACTGCACCCTACACTGCTTACCATAAACACAATGCTCATAAAAGTCTAACTTGCACTTCTTCACACCATTGATTGATTGGCGTTTGCTAAGTTTCGCTAAACATCTCTCACCCATGTGACCCAATCGCATATATAACAACTAAGTCAAGTCAAAATCACCATCATCAGATAGGAAAATTGCTTCTCCATCTGTGATAGTATTCCCAAGCATCACATATAAGATCTTCTTGCCTTTCATCATAACTAGAGCGCCATTAAGAATCTTTAGAACTCCACCTTCTCTAACAAATTTGTAGCCATCGGAGTCTAAGGTACCTAGAGAAATAAGATTCTTCTTCAAATCTGAAACGTGTCTAATATCAGTCAAGGTTCTGACAACTCTATCGTACATCTTGATAATAAGTGTCCCAACACCAATGGTCTTGCAAGTTGCATCATTCCCCATTAATGCTCTTATATGTGGTGAACCAATCCCGATGAGGGCACATATGATAAGAACATCTTGAATCAAGAACCCACGAGTCTTTAGAGTTGTCACAATTTGTTGAGACCAACAACGCATTATTTGTTCCACTTACCAAGATTCCATCAACTATATTGGCTGCTTCAAAAGCTTATCTTTCTTTCTCTTTGAGTTTCCAACAATCATTCTTAACATGTCATTTTTCTTTGTAGTAATTGCAATAAATATTACTTTTTCTTGATCTAGATTTGGATATGGACCAGCCCTGTTTTTCATGTCGCTTTTTACTTCTCTCAACATATCACATTAGAGATAAGAGTCGAAGTCACATCCAACATCTCTATGGTATCTTTTCCATAAAGCAATGTTGTGACTAGATGCTCATATGAATGAGGGAGTGAAGATAACAAAATTATAGCCTTATCCTTATCATCCATGTTAACACCAATATTCAATAATTCACAAATAATTTTATTAAAATAATGCAGGTATTCATGGATATGTGTACATTCATTCATCTGCAGGGTGTACATATTTTGCTTCAAAACAGTAGATTTGTGAGGGACTTCGTCATATATAAATTCTTAAGCTTCGACCAAAGACTTGATGTCTAATCCTCATTGATGATATTAAATAGCACATCACATGATAAGCACAATCGAATAGTGCTCATAGCCCTATCAGACATGGATTCTACTTTCTTCCCAGTCCTCATCAGACATAGATTCTACTTTCTTCGACTTTCCTTTCAGAGCTTTATGCAGACCTTGTTGTCCGAACATTGATTTGCCAAATTTCAAAATTATTTTTGCCATCAAATTTCTCTACTTTGAATTTTGCATTCGAAACTTTTACCGCCATACTGACTACCCCAAATCGGGCTCTGATACCACTACCTTGATGCTTAATATGTGCCTTAATATGTACTCAGATTGCACAGTTGATTATGTATTAAGATTGCACATTTAATTGAGTTGATTAAGCAACCATTTCTCCCACTTAGAGGCACACCCAAAGCAAGGAATTACAACCATGTGGACCTCAGTTTTTGCAGCCCATTACACTGTATTGGATGCTTGGTTAGGGTGTCATTTTGGACCTTCCCACTTAGTTAAGCATGGGTATTGGTCCCTGCACTATTCATCGATGTGATCCAACAGTGGGGTATGTGAAGTCCCATTGAGCTAATTGTTGGCTTTCTATGGTTTTCAAGTCGTTTTGTATTTGATTTTATATTTTTGAGATTGCAATTATGTCCATGTATTGATGTTATGATCATTTTCCAAGTAATTTATCATAGTTGCATTGAATGGTACACTTTGTACTGTAATTCTAGTCCCTACTTTACTGTGGAATGTTATAGAAGTGTTGGGGCATGCAAAAGTATTTCCTTGGCCTTTATTTGAGGTGTGATTGAGTTGAACTTATCTTAAATAATAATGTATATGCTGCTGGTTTGTATGTAATCAGCAAGTGTAAGTAAACATGTTGGGTGCTAGTCCGCACCCATCATGGCGTACATGACACGGTAACAGTTCAACTATAGGAATCAAACTTGAGATATAGGATTCTAACGGCTAACTAATCAAGCTCATGCCCTAAGCCTAAGACATTAGAGTGGAGGGTTTGCTCCCTTCGTTTTGTTGGTCAGGTCATCAAATTCGCAACAAAAGCCCAAGAATTGAATCCCAGTTAACCTACTAAAGGAACCAAAAATGTAAATAATCAAATTTAAGGATGTATTGTGTAAATGGATTTTCACTGTCACCAAGGCAGCATACTTTACAGTGCTTTCTTATTCGAAAGCATTTTATGTGCTTTGTTTCAGACGTGTTTACTTTAACGCAGTTATCCTAAACTAACTCCGAATATAACTTAAGAGGACTTCATTCATAGTCATTTTCTTTACCAAGTATGGCAACAATTCTATTGTAATTTTGACTCATGAAGGAACTTTTACTGTTCTAGATCTTATTGTAATTATTAAGAATTGCAATCTTTCTAGAGCTTAAAAACTTCAGAAAAAATAGAGAGAAAATAAAGGATGCAGGGTGGGTGGAGGGGGGGGGGGGGGGGGGGGTTGGATTAAAAATAGAAAATTCATAAAGAGTATTTGAAACATTAAAGAAACTAATTGGAAGAAAAAGTTTGTTGAAAAAAACTATCCAGAAAATTATTGCATTCGTACAGTTCATTTGGGATTATTTTAGCCTCGAATAATATGAATAGATTTAGAAAACGCTTCAAATAAAGTGAAGTTTATTAAGGTGAAGTTGGAATATTAGGGAGAAAGAGGTGAACCCTGGAAATCCTATAAATAAAAGGAATTGATATCATGGAAGCATGGATTTGAAGCTCACATAATTTCTTTCCTCAAAAAGAGAAGAGTCCATAAAATGACAACAAATAATGATGTCCCTGAGAAAGAACAAAGAAATAGAAAGTTTGAGAAATTCCCAAAAAACAGAGATTAATTGGTTAAAAGAAAGTCCAATGTGTTTGTCAGTTTAGTTGCTTCAATGAAGAATGAGGTAATAAAAGGTTTCAATTTGTCCGTTATAATTTTCCTTAATGATGAGAAAATAAGCATTTGGAATCCGAAGATAAGTGAGCAAAAGTGCCGGCAGAAATCGACGGAGCCTGCTAGTCAAGCTTCCATGCAGATGAATGCATCCAATTGCATTTCTGATGATTAAGATTCAAACAACAATTTTTTAGATCGTGACTACAGATTGACGAGCATATGCAATTTGGAACTAGTAGTGCTTATTGAGAATTAACCTATGGCTTCCATTGCTATTTAATTCTTGAGTGTCTCTATTAGGATATTGATTACCAAACTAGCGGTTTCAAACACTTTGCTTAAAGTGCACGATGGATAATCAACTTCTATGCTTTTTTGGAAACTACAAACTCCTGATCAGGATCCTGATAATGAAACCAACAATTGGATGTGATTCACTGGCAGCCTTTAGTGAAAACCTAGATCCCAACTTTTTCTTTCTTTCCTGGTAGTTACCGAGATCTTCTGTTGTTCTTTTAGGTGATGACCACCAGATCGGCAGCAGTCTCTGCTTTAATAACAATACCAAGTGGATATTCCATTCTTTGGCTGCAATGCTTTTCGCAAGGATTATATTCTTTGACTAAGATCCTGATAATCATATCTTTTAGTGGAAACCATGATGTTGAGAGCATATTGCTATATGCGATTTACTGGTAGTGTTCGGTGAAAATTCATCTTCCTGGTTTCTCCAGCTTTCAGTAGTAACATGTGTTTCCTATGTGTTATTGGCAATTAATTCTTCACTACATATTTCAGTGAAGCCTAGGCATGTTCTCTTATCATTAACTTCTTGATCGTTGCCTGACGATATCAAGGGTATTTAATCAGGAGATATAGCTATAATTAGAAAGAGGTTGTCGACCGATGCAACAAACATTGTTACGTAACGATGCAAAAGTGGCTAATCGAAAGTACTCAATCCGACATAAACGAATGACAGAGGACATAGAAGAAAAAACTCATTCAAACATGCCAATCACAAAAGTGGCTAATCGGAAGTACTCTATCTGACAGAATAGAATGACAGAGGACATAGAAGAAAAACTCATTCAAACATGCCAATCATAAAAGAGTACAACATTCGGGCAACGACATTCTCTTCTGACCTCACTCCAAGCACAATCTCTGTCATAAGGCTCTGTAAGAGGTCACAACACAGGTTCCAAAATCCTACGGGATATATAGTCCAGGAAATCCTGGATACTTCTTTGGTGTCTCTTCTTTGCATAACAGGAGTACACTAGAAATGGAAACTGAGAGCTTGACATAAAACTACTAACCACCAAGCTACTAGACTTAACATAAGTTTATAGGAACTAGACAAGCTACTAGACTTAACATAAGTTTATAGGAACTAGACAAGCTACTAGACTTAACATAAGTTTATAGGAACTAGACAAGCTACTAGACTTAACATAAGTTTATCGGAACTAGACAAGCTACTAGACTTAACATAAGTTTATAGGAACTAGATCTCTAAAGTACCCATCTTCCTGGATCACAGAAAAAAAGAAAGAAAGACCATATATTTGAATGTCCATCCATCCCTTCCCTTCACAAGTGCAATGTGAGGTCCAACTCGTTATTGCCGGTGTCTGTGCTCAAACCAAGGCTAAGCTCTAAGTTTGGCACTTTGCTTGATAATCCCTCATGCACTGGCTGGTGCTCACTAATGGGTTGCTGACCTCTGAGACTGTTGATCTCACCTGCCCCCGAGACCAAGAAGGCATGTGGGCCGAAATGGGAGGGGATAGCTTGTCCGTAGCCACTAAAGTGAGGCACATGCCTCTGTGGCGGGGGAAGGAGGGATAGAGTCCTTTGGGGATGCGGCGGAAGAGGAGCAGGCATCTGTGAGGAGGAGGAGGACGAGGAGGGGGATAGTTGTTCATTTGCAGAATGAGGTGGCAAGGGATTGACAATTTTTGCATCCAAGAATGCTTCTTTAACATCATTTTCAAGGGCAATACGATAGTTCCTCTGAGCTCGTTTTAAGATTATTTGCTCTATTCTATGAGAATTTTGGTGAGCTCCCAAGGCTTGGGAGCTTACGTACCTCTTCCCACACATTGTACACAAATACCTTTTAGCTCCACACCCACTTCTACGTGGAGCGACAGGGTTCGGGACTTGTGGTGAAGCAGGGGCAGGGGCAGTGGTAGTTACAGTAGCCACCGTAGTAGAAGGATGAGGAGGAATAGAAAGAGTAGGCGAAAAGACCAAGGTACGGGGAATAACATTCACATGGTGCCATTGTGATGAGGGTACTCCATTGGAAGAAGAGGGGTGGTTTCTGGAAGAAGATGCCATTCTTTGGAAGGGGAGAGGGAGGGGGAAAGCACTAATGGATGAAAAGATACAGAAAAAAACAGAGAGTGAGTGAGAGACTTGGGCAGGGTTGTGGGATGTTTTACTTGATGGGGGTGGTGCCTCTATTTATGCGGCCTCTTCCTTAGACTATTTATTATCAATGACTGAAACGTGTACAAATCTCCCTATGCTCCTTTCTTTCCTCTTTGGACAGGCTTTTTAGGAGGCTCCATTGGTTAAACGAAATTTGCATTGGTGTACACACATGACAGCAGAGCCAATAAAGGAAAGGCTTGCTACAAATTTAGCAAGCATTAACAGGGCGTGAATACCCACTTTCTCTCTCTCTCTCTAATGGACATGTTAGAGAGAGAAGTGAGGCAACAGTTGGCAAACATGCGATATCTTCATTGAAGTGAGTGAGCGCAAAAAGATAGAAGAATACAGCAGAGGAAAGCAAGGACGTAAATGGGTGGGTGAGGTGCGAGTGTTGCTCCCTAACGAGAGGAATCAGTTTCTCTCTCTCTATTTGGGAGCTCCATCCTTATCCTTGGCCCTTGCTGACACTAATGCACCACCATGCTACCCCCAGTAATTCTCAAAACCATCTAAGCCTACAATTGATTCTGTCCCCTAAAAATATAATGCAATCTTGCCGCTCAAATTTGAATATCTTTCTCTCATGTATGGTTTGTAATGAAAGGGTGGGAACAATTTTGAGTTTGATACCATGCGAATGTTAAAAAAAGTAGGGCGAATGCGAGTAACTCCCCTGAGTCCATCTCCTTTTTTAGAAAGAAAAAGTGAAGAAAAATGGTGATTATCTCTACTACATTATTAAGTAAGAATAAGGAGGTAGACAAGTGTCGTCAAAATAAAAAAAATCGTAATGTTATAAAGATTGTAGGGAAAGAGAGAGATTAAAATTTTGTGCTGAGTAGAGATTTTAAGAAGAGATAGAGAAAGTAGAGATTTTAGGAAGAGATTATTTTCATATTTTATTGGAAAATAGGAGAATTTTTTTTTATCTAACGCTTTCCTAAAATTTGTATGTGAAGAGTAGAAAAAAGATGATCTCTATCTTTTTCTAATATTTTATGTGTGAAGATTATCTACTTTAGGAAGTGTATAAGAGATAATCTTCCAAGACAATATTTTAGGAAATCAACATTTTATTAGGATTTGAGAAAATATGCACAAAAGAGACGCATAATGAGAGATTTTAAGAGGGATTTTGAGGAGAGAGAGTACTTGCAAGAGAGAATATGCACATAAAAGAGAAAGATAATGAGAGATTTTAAGAAATCAAGATTTTAATAAGATATATTTGACAGAATATGCACAAGAGAGAGAATGAGAGATTTTGTGGGGAGAGAGGATATGTATAAGAGAGAGAAAGGAGAAGAGAAAGAAAGGGGGGGAGAGAGAGAGCTCAATCTACATCTCACATGTGTCTTAAAATCAAAGGAAAATTATGTCAATATGTGTTTTATTTTCTATTATTACGAAAATGGCTAAAACTGTATGTTATTACTCATATGTCCGATTTTTAACTTCATAACAAATTTTTTAAAAAGATGAAACCTCTCATTTTCTGTTCTTCAAAAACCGAATTTTTCTGTTTGTGGACTCGGCCAAGTTATTCAAGAACAATTTTCAAATTCCTTGTATTCATGGCAAAAACTAAAAATAAAATAAATAAAAATAATGAGAACAAGGCATAACAACTAATAAATGAATTTATACGGATGGAAAAAATACAAACTAATAATTCATCCACACAAGTAAATAAAAGGAAAAATTACGTAAATATCCATTTTAGTTTCCGTTATTATCAAAATACTGAACACTTTTGGTTATTACTGATAGGTTCGTTTTTTTAACTTCATAACACTTTTTTTCAAAAAAGATGAAACAACCCATTTTTCGATTTTTCAAAAACCTAAATCATGTCAATTTCGGTTTTTGAAGAATCAATTTTTTTCTCGTCCTCTGCATATTCTCTCTCTATCACTCTCTCTCTCTACATTACATGGGGATTTCGAATGAGAACAAGGAAGATTCAAAACCACAAGTTCCATCTCTCCTTCTACACCATTATTAGACTCTTGGACCAAAGAGAAGATTATTTATCCCTATTGCTCAACCCCCTATCTCTTTATCAACAATCCCTCTTCCTCCTATCATTACCCACAGAGAAGAAGGTAAAAAAAAAAAACCAGAGTAGAGAGAGAGAAAATACACAAAAATAGATCATTCTACCCTTGAGCCAAAAGCAACAGCGCAAGCTCCACCCCCTACACAAGCGTAATTTCCTATCATTCTACCCTTGAACCAGAAGTAACAGCACTAGCTCCACCCCCTACACAAGCGCCCTTTCCTCCCTGCCATGCTACCCCTTCTTTTTCTCTGCCGCTGCTAGCCCCACCCATTCTTTGGTACTTTTGGTCATGGAATTTGTAGAAAAATGCATCTTTTTGGCTTACAAATTTAAAAGAGAATGTCAACTAAAAGATTAAACAAACAACAAATAATTTCAAATAAAACAAAAAAAATGAATTGGAAAATTAACAAGTTATAGAAGATTTACAGATTTTACCTTGGCCCCAATAGTCTAGTAGATAAATTGAAGCACAACTTATGCAAAAGAATGCACGTAACCATAAAAGATGAAAGGATGTACTAAATATCTAAGTCATGAATATCCCTAGGTTTAAAAATAAAAAAAAATATTAAGTAAAAAGTCAGACAAAATTATGAATAATTTTAACTGAATAACAAAAGATTGAGGTAAATAGACATATAAAAAGGGATCCACGGATTTCACACTTGACCCCAAAAACTTTTAATAATGTATTAGGAATGATGAACCTTTTTTTTCTTTTTTTGGTGATGGAAAACTCTGGTTTGCTGGCCATGGAAATTGAAGGGGAAAGAGTACATGAAATTGGGGAGGTCATGCATTTGGTAGGTCTCTCATTCTATGATGAAAATTCTATGATGAAAATTTTAGAAAGAATGCATCAAAGATGAAGCTTCTAAAGTTGCAGAGATCTCTTGTTGGTTGATCATTTAAACTGCACAAATAATAGATGAAGTGGTGAACTTCCAAAATTACAAAAATTTCTAATTATCTGAGACATTGTATAATTTAGGGACAGTTTTAAGGGATAATTTTGTATAGAACTCTAATTCCTCGTATTATTTTATGGTAGACCCTTTTTCTCGTTTTCTTTCAAGCAGCATAAAAAAACCCCTAAAGATTTTACCGTACCCCCTCATTTCTCATCTCCTTGTTTCTTGACTTTGATCATAAAAATTAACCCCAATAAATATTTTTATACCATTTTAACCCAAAAACTTTAATTATTGGTGGAAAGGGAAAAAGATGGTTAAAAATATTTTTGAGATGAAAATGGTATAAAAAGATTTGTTGGAGCTAATTTTTATAGTAACAAATGAGATAAGGTGTACCGTGAAATCCTTGGAGATTTTCTTATGCCACTTGAAAAAAAACAGAAAGATGGTCTACCATTAAATAATATAAAAAATTAGGGTTCTATATTAAATTTTCTTAAGTTTTAAAGCTATAGACGTCAGATCTTTGATATCACAAAAATAAAATGGGAATCGAACTTTCAAAGTTACTAAAATCTATGGTTATCTTTGATATCACAAAACAAAAAAAGTAGAAATCGAACTTTCGAAGTTGCTAAAATCTCTGGTTAGCTGGTGTAGAGGGACAAACCTCGTCGTTAAAATATTACCTAGAGGGGAATTGGCAATGCTTTCAATCAAATACCGATAAGAGTCTTGATCGCCTGCTACAAACTCTCCAATTGCAGGAATGGCGAGCAGAGATAATGTAGCAAAAAGCAAAGGAGACCCACAAGAGAGAGAGAAGGAAAAAAAAAAATCCTCGTGTAATATAGAGAGAGTGAAAAACGATTTCACCCAAAATTTAAAATTTTTGTATTTGAAAACTGAAATTGGCATGGATTTTGATCTTTAAAAAATTGAAAATAGATAGTTTCATCTATTTTAAAAAATACAAGAGAGAAAAAAAATCCTCGAGAAATTTTTTTTCGGTTATTGAAGAACCAAAAGTTTAAAATATTCGGTTTTTGAAAACGTAAATTGGCATGATTTCGGTTTTTGAAAAACTGAAAAATGTGTAGTTTCATCTTTTTTTAAAAAAACAAAAACTTATGAAATCCAAAAAACGGACATATCAATAATAATGGAAAATATTCAATATTTTGGTAATAACGAAAACTAAAACCGATATTAACCTAGAGTTAGGTCAGCAAACAAGAATTCTCACATCCAAATTCACGCCTCTTATGTCCGGAATCTAGTGATGATCAGCCGGAAAATATTTTTCGGTGATGTACGAGAGAGTTCTGAGCTCGATGAGTGTAATTGAGCAGATGTAATTGGAAAGCAATCGGGAGAGGAAGAGCGAGAAACACACTCCATTGTTGAAGAGTTACCATTTAATGGCAGTTGAAAGCGCCATTAACAAAGAATTAGGGTTTGTAGGGGATGAGAGAGCCAAGTTTTGTGAGTTTTTGATTTCGATTGAAAAAAATGAAGGGGAAGGGCAATACCAAAGATATCCTTAATAGTAAAATTTCTTCCCTCAATTACCAAAGCAGAAAGTGTACGTAGCGCGGGGAGACTATGCTTACGACCAAACGAACATAGAGAAACAGTTGCGAGAGAAAAGTTTCGGTTTTTCAAAAAACAGAAAAATAAATCAATTCAGTTTTTGAAAAATCAAAATTATAACATTTTTAGTTTTTTAAAAATCAAAAACCATAATTATTTAAAATTTAATTTTTTAAAAATAAAAAATTTGGGGTAGTTTAAGCTTTTTTTTTTTTTTTTTCAATTAGGGAAGTTATGAATTTTTAGTTTTTTTAATCAATGTTTTGGTTATTTGGAGTGAGAAGTTGAGTTAAGTTTATGTTAAGAATTTTGACAGTTATTCTGCCTCG